CCATATGAAATTTAAAGGAGATGTTTCTAGTCCTGTGAAGAAAGTCAATGGTAGCTTGATGGGAATAGCACTGAATCTATAAATTACTTTGGGCAGTATGGCCATTTTCATGATATCGATTCTTCCTAACCATGAGCATAGAATGTTTTGCCATTTGTTTGTGTCCTCTCTTATTTCCTTAAGCAGTGGTTCATAGTTCTCTCTTTAAGAGTTCTCCTTCACATCCCTTGTAAGTTGTATTCCTAGGTATTTATTCTCTTTGTAGCAATTGTGAATGGGAATTAACTCATGAGTTGGCTCTCTGCTTGTCTATTATTGGTGTAGAGGAATGCTTGTAATTTTTGCACATTGATTTTGTAACCTGAGACTGCTGAAGTTGCTTATCAGCTTAAGGAGATTTTGGGCTGAGATGATGGGGTTTTCTAAATGTACAATCATGTCATCTGCAAACAGACAATTTGCCTTCCTCTCTTCCTATTTGAATACTCTTTATTTTTTTTCTCTTGCCTGATTGCCCTGGCCAGAACTTCCAATACTATGTTGAATAGGAGTGGTGAGAGAGGGCATCCTTATCTTGTGCTGGTTTTCAATGGGAATGTTTCCAGCTTTTGCCCATTCAGTATGATATTGGCTATGGGTTTGTCATAAATAGCTTATTATTTTGAGATATGTTCCATTAGTACCTGGTTTGCTGAGAGCTTTTAGCATGAAAGAGTGTTGAATATCAAAGGCTTTTTCTACATCTATTGAGATAATCATGTGGCTTTTGTCATTGGTTCGGTTTATGTGATGGATTACGTTTATTGATTTGCATATGTTGAAACAGGCTTGCATCCCAGATTGAAGTTGACTTGATTGTGGTGGATACAATTTTTGATGTGCTGCTGGATTTGGTTTGCCAGTATTTTATTGAGGATTTTCGTATTGATGTTCATTAGAGAGATTTGCCTGAAATTTTCTTGTGTCTCTGCCAGGTTTTGGAATCAGGATGATGCTGGCCCCATAAAATGAGTTAGGGAGGAGTCTCTCTTTTTCTATTGTTTGGAATAGTTTCAGAAGGAATGGTACCAGTTTCTGGTGGAATTCAGTTGTGAATCCATCAGATCCTGGGCTTTTTGTGGTTGGTAGCTGTTAATTACTGCCTCAATTTTAGAACTTGTTATTGGTCTACTCAGGGATTTTATTTCTTTTTGGTTTAGCATTGGGAGGATGTATGTGTCCAGGAATTTATTCATTTCTTCTAGATTTTCTAGTTTATTTGTGTAGAGGCGTTTGTAGTGTTCTCTGATGGTAGATTATATTTCTGTGGAATCACTGATGATATCCCCTTTATCATTTTTTATTGTGTCTATTTGATTTTTTCTCTCTTTTCTTCTTTACTAGTCTGGCTAGTGGTCTATTTGTTAATCTTTTTTTTTCTTTTTTTTAAAAACAGCTCCTAGATTCATTGATTTTTTTTGATGGGTTTTTCGTGTCTCTATCTCTTTCAGTTCTGCTCTGATCTTAGTTATTTCTTGTCTTCTACTAGCTTTTGAATTTGTTTGCTTTTGCTTCTCTAGTTCTTTTCATTGTGATGTTAGGGTGTTAATTTTAGATCTTTTCCACTTTCTTATATAGGCATTTAGTGCTATAAGTTTCCCTCTGAACACTGCTTTAAATGTGTCCCAGAGATTCTAGTACATTGTATCTTTGTTCTCATTGTTCTCAAAGAATTTCATTGTTTCTGCCTTAATTTTATTATTTACCCAGTAGTCATTCAGGAGCAGGTTGTTCAGTTTTCATGTAGTTGTGTGGTTTTGAATGAGTTTCTTAATACTCAGTTCTAATTTGATTTCCCTGTGGTCTGAGAGGCTGTTTGTTATGATTTCTGTTCTTTTGCATTTGCTGAGAAGTGTTTTACTTCCAATTATGTGGTCAATTTTAGAATCAGTGCAATATGGTACTGAGAAGAATGTATATTCTGTTGATTTGTGGTAGAGAGTTCTGTAGATAGTTATTAGGTCTGCTTGGTTCAAAGCTGAGTTCACATCCTGAATAGCCTTGTTAATTTTCTGTCTCGTTGATCTAATATTGACAGATAATAGTCAATATTAGACTTTAACACCCTACTGTTATTGTGTGGGAGTTTAAGTCTCATTGTAGGTTTCTAAACTTGTTTTATGAATCTGGGTGCTCCTGCATCAGGTGCATATATATATTTAGAATAATTAGCTCTTCTTGTTGCATTGATCCCTTTACCAGTGTAATGCCCTTTGTTGGTTTAAAGTCTGTTTTATCAGAGATTAGGACTGCAACCCCTGCTTTTTTTTTTCTTTCCATTTGCTTGGTAAATATTCCCCCATCCCTTTGTTTTGAGCCTGTGTGTGTCTTTGCATGTGAGATGGGTCTCCTGAATACAGCACCCGGATGGGTCTTGACTCTTCATTCAACTTGCCAGTCTATGTCTTCTAATTAGATGTATTTAGCTCATTTATATTTAAGGTTAATATTGTTATGTGTGAATTTGATTCAGTCATTATGATGCTAGCTGGTTATTTTGCCCACTATGAGAGCTTTTAGCATGAAACTGCTGTGCAGTTTCTTCATAGCATCAATGGTCTTTGCAATTTGATATGTTTATGCAGTGGCTGGTACTGGTTGTTCCTTTCCATGTTTCGTGCTTCCTTCAGGAGCTCTCATAAAGCAAGCCTGGTGGTGACAAAGTTCCTCAGTGTTTGTTTGTCTTTAAAGGATTTTATTTCTCCTTCACTTATGAAACTTAGTTTGGCTAGATATGAAATTCTAGGTTGAAAATTCTTTTCTATAAGAATTTTAAATATTGGCCCCCACTCTCTTCTTGCTTGGTTGGGTTTCTGCAGAGAGAGAGTCTGCTGTTAGTCTGATGGGCTCCCGTTTGTAGGTAACCTGACCTTTCTCTCTGGCTGCCCTTAACATTTTTTCCCTTGTTTCGGCCTTGGAGAACCTGATGATTATGAGTCTTGGGGTTGCTCTTCTCACGGAGTATCTTAGTCATGTTCTCTGTATTTCCTGAATTTGAATGTTGGCCTGTCTTGCTAGGCTGGGAAGTTCTCCTGGTTAATATCCTGAAATCTGTTTTCCAACTTGGTTTTATTCTCCCTGTCACTTTCAGGGACCCCGTCAGTCGTAGGTTTGGTCTTTTTACATAGTCCCGTGTTTCTTGGAGGCTTTGTTATTTCTTTGCATTCTTTTCCCTCAAATCTCGTCTTCAGACTATTTCATTAAGTTGATCTTCAATCTCTGATATCCTTTCTTCTGCTTGATCAATTTGGCTATTGATACTTATGTATGTTTTACAAAGTTCTCATGCTATGTTTTTCAGCTCCATCAGGTCATTTATATTCTTCCCTAAACTGGTTATTCTAGTTAGCAGTTCCTGTAACCTTTTGTCAAGGTTCTTAGCTGCCTTGCATTGAGTTAGAGCATGTTCCTTTAGCTTGGAGGAGTTTGTTATTATCCACTTTCTGAAGCCTACTTCTGTCAATTCACCAACCTCATTCTCTGTCCAGTTTTGTGCCCTTGTTGGAGAGGAGTTGTGATCATTTGGAGGAGAAGAGGCATTCTGGTGTTTGGAATTTTCAGCATTTTTGTGCTGTTTTTTCCTCATCTTCATGGGTTTATCTACCTTTGATCTTTGAGGCTGATGATCTTTGGATGGGGTTTCCGTGTGTGGGGGTCCATTTTGTTGATGTAGATGTTATTGCTTTCTGTTTGTTAGTTTTTCTTCTAACAGTCAGTCCCTTCTTCTGAAGGTCTGCTGCAGTATGCTAGAAGTCCACTCCAAACCCTATTTGCCTGGGTATCACCAGCGGAGGCTGCAGAACAGCAAAGATTGCTGCCTGCTCCTTCCTCTGGAAGCTTCGTCACAGAGGGGCACTGGCCTGATGCCAGCCAGAGCTACCTTGTATGAGGTGTCTGCCAACCCCTGTTGGGAGGTTTTTCCCAGTCAGGAGGCATGGCTGGAAATTCTCACTGCAAGCACAATAGTCTGAAGTCTGAGGAGGCAGTCTGCCCCTTAGCAGAGCTCAAGTGCTGTGCTGGGAGAACCCTCCTTGTCAGGATTCACTATTCTCTTCAGAGCAGGCAGGCAGGAACATTTAAGTCCACTGAAGCTGCCCCCACAGCCGCCCCTTCTCCCAGATGCCCTATCCCAGGGAGATGGGAGTTTTATTTATAAGCCCTTGACTAGGGCTGCTGCCTTTCTTTCAGAGATGCCCTGCCCAGTGAAGAGGAATCTAGAGAGGATGTCTGGCCACAGTCACTTTGCCTCACTGTGTTTAGTTCTGCCCAGTCCTTAGCATGGTCAGGGGAAAGCCACCTACTCCAGCTTCAATAATGGTGGATGCCCCTCCCCGCACCAAATTCGAGTGTCCCAGATCGACTTCAGACTGCTGTGCTGGCAGTGAGAATTTCCAGCCAGTGGATTTTAGCTGGCTGGTCTCCGTGGGGGTGGTATCCACTGATAAGACCACTTGACTCCCTGGTTTCAGTCCCCTTTCCAGGGGAGTGAATGGTTTCTGTCTCACTGGGGTTCCAGGCACCACTGGGGTATGAAAAAAAACTGCAGCTAGCTTGATATCTGCCTGAATGTAGGGTCCAGCCCTCCAGGGTCCCATGAGTTCCTCTTTGCTGGTGTGGAGATGAGAAACTGTAGAAATAAAAGACACAAGACACCGAGAAAGAGAAAAAAGTTTGGGCCCAGGGGTCCACTGCTACCAAATCACAGAGACCAGCAGTGGCCCCAAGTTCCTGGAAACTCTGACTTTTATTGAGTACAAAGCAGGGGGAGGGCAGGTAGGACGAGATAATGGTGGTCAGTGACAGGGTCTGATAAATCACGTGTCTTGGAGATAGGGGGCCCAAGACTTTGAAGAAGCCGAGGCAAGGAGAAAACCTAAGGTGTCAGCACTTTTTTCATACTTGTCAAGAAATAACAAGGTCACTAAGATTTATGTTACTAATATTAATTCTTATCTTCTAAGGAACAGGGTGCAGAAGCAGAACTTGAAAGTAGACATGGAGCGTGACCACTGAAGCACAGCACCACATAGAGACAATTAAGCCCCTGGACGTCTGTGAGTGTCCCTGACAGCTGTCAGGCTTACCACAAGAGCTTGGGAAAGTGGAGTTTTCTCCTTACTCCCCTGAGGAAGGAGACGTCTCTGCCATCTTGAATGTGTCCTTCCCTAGCTGGCTAAACAGCAGGCGTTTTCACAGTACCTGTCATGATCTCCTCTCAGTAATCTGTATGCTGAACTGACTACTCTGTAAATTTGGTCACTGATAACACAACCTTAGTGGAGAAAGAGACAAGGGAAGAAGAAGAAACTCTTTAAAAAATGGCATATACATGACATGGCAAGAAAGAAAATGCAACAGTATTCATTTCTAAAATAGATGCAACAGTATTCATTTCTACAACCATCAAGAGGTCATAGTTGCTATATATAATTTCCCTACTTCCCATTTCACATTCTTTTCACCTTTGGCCAGTCCCTTAGCTGCTAGGAATTATTGACTCAAGAAAGTGACCTAAACCTTTATTTGTAAAGGGCCTGAGCCTTGGTGGTCCTGAGCAGCCAGGACATTTTTATTAGTAGACATGACAACACTAGGTGGAAATCCAAGGGATCCTTTGATTTCCATGACTCTACTGTAAATCAGTTTTCACTTGTTATTGATGATTCATATAGTTCTCTCTTTTTCTTGTTCCTCAGCGATTGTGAGGAGCCCATACAATGATCAGGTGGCATTCTCAGATTCTAATTCATTGAAACTATTATTTTTTTTTTCTACTGATAGACACCTTGTCTCAAGCTTTTAAATCACCAGCTAAGAAGTAACAATTTTGCAAGTGGTTCTGAAGGAAGTACTCCTCCTGATGCCCTACCCATGTATGCTGGATATGGAGAAACAGCATATGTGGTTGCTGGTGCAGAATAAATACTGCTGTTTGAAAGGTATTGTCTCCAAGTTGAAGCTGTAAATGAGTCTTTACTATACTGTCTATGAGGCCAGACACTTTCAGGTGATGGAGGACACCACAGAAGCAGTCAGCCCAATATGACAGCCCATTGTCTTGTTACTTTTGGTGTAAAATTAGTTTCTTAGTGAGAACCAATGTTGAGTGAAATACCATGGTAACTGTTCAGTAAGTCTATGAATGTTGATGTGGGCAGAAATTTGCTGGGCAGGGTCAGCAAATCCCAATCCAGAATAAGTTAGTATTCCAGTAAAGATAAATTCCTGCCCCTTTTATGATGATGAAAGAAGTCTGGAACATTCTTTGAATCCACTCACTCAGTGACCATTATGACTCCCTTTAGCTTGCCCTCTTACTGTACAGGATGGAAAATTAATGGCTGCATTTCCCATACTCCCTTAAAGTTTCAACTCATTAAAGTGCCCACATGTTTGGAAGTCCAAGGGAGCACCAGGGGGAGAGCTGATCCTCTGCAAGCCAGTCTGGCTTTCAGATGCTGAGCAACAGAGGCTATTAGTGGTGGTCTGGAGAGAAGCCACTTCTTTACCCAGGCACATTGTTTCTGGCTTTGTTCCATTCAAACCTAATTCACATCAGGGACTTAAGTTTAGTTTTATTTCTTGGACAAATAAGTATTCATCAGAAGCAGTGGCCAGATCAGGTTTGATGAGGGAAATCCAAGTTGCTGAACCCCCACATAGCCTCTGTTTCTGCCATGAGGCCTACTTTGCTCACTGGGCAGCACTGGAGTGTCTGCAGAAAGGAGAGTGTTGGCATGCAAGGGCCGGGTCAACCTCTTCTCTTGACTATTGAGCACCTACCTCCTCTCCAGTGGAGGCCTTTGGGTGGCATTCACAAAGAACCTAATATCCTCATACTCTCAATTCATTCTCAGAGATCCCGTAGATACCTCCTCCTCCAAACATCCTTGTCACCAGACTTGCAGTCTTTATCCTTTCATGTGTTGGCTGTTGAGCTAAACTGTCAGCTACTGAGCATTAATTGGTGATATTTGCACCTAACACCATTTCTCCTTTCAGACAAAGTGGTTAGCAGGATGAAATGCTTAAAATTCTGTTTCTGAAAGATTCCCCTTTGTGGATCTTCAGGGTCACCTTCAAATTGGGCTATAATGTTGCTGTCGTCCACTTGTGGCTGGTGCTGTCATTTTGTCATAGGAGTCAGAACACCATGCAATTTATTGTGTCTTCAATTTCTGCTTAAGCCCACTCTTATATAGGAAATTTCCATTTGATCATAAGAAGTGATACAATGTGGTAACTTAATATGTGTACTTTGAAGCCAAAGATCCTGGGTTCTAACCAAGTCCTGCCACTTATTAGCCAAATGGCTATGGTCAGATTGCTTTTACCCTCTCTCTGCTTTAATTTTCTCAGCCAAAATAGGGATGATTATAATAATAGTACTATTTCCCAGAAATGTGGTGAGGATTAAAGGAAATGTTATGAGTAAAGCACTTAGAGCAGAGCTTGGCACATTGTGCACACACACTAAATGTTAGCTGACTTTACAGCGTGGTGGACCAGATAGCCTCCTTATGATGGGCACTAGCCGTGGGATCACGCTGCCGTATTTACCAGTGATAAGGAACAAGCCAACATCTGTTTCTGAAAAGGAGAAACGTTGTATGCCACAGAATCCATGGCTTGGCTGCAAAACCCTGAGAACCTGTTCTTTTATTCTTCTTTCTGGATGTTCCAAAGCTCCATCAGCAGCCCTGTCTGCCACAGGTGTTTCAAGAACATTGGATCCGCTGGATTAGAAGACAGGGCTTCCTGGATCAGCGAGAAAGCCTACTCTTGCTTCAGGCTGCACTCAAAATTGGCAACCTCTCAGATTATTTTTTAAAAATGAGCTGAAATAGCATGTCTAAATCAGGTCTCCAAAATTCAAAGACGAGTGCAAGCAGCACACGATTACAGAATATTTCCAACACCCAGATATAATACATATACATAATCTGAGCAGCATAGAAAATAATGAAAAGTTATCAAGTAACTAGGAAGTGATGACTTTGTAATTATCTTTGCTTTTCACACCATTTATTTAACTGTAAGTATATATAATTTGTTTTAATAATGGTTGTGTTTAGCAGTCAGCTCACCAAAGTTTGGAAAATTTGTCAGTTGACCTTTGTGAGTTGGTACAACCTGTCTGTAGCACGTTACTGACTGTAGAATTCAAGGCAATGAGGACTGTTAGGGGCAAAGAATGAAGAGAATTGGTTTCCCCTACCACCAGTAAGGTCACTCCCACAAAGAATAACATTACAGAGTCTTCATGAAAGATGGAAAAAGATTCATCATGAAGAAGAGTAGCCATCTGATGAGGAAGGCTGCATTAATTCAGGTGTGCCAAGAAGCAGATGGCAAGATGGGAATAGATGTTCATGAGCTTTACTGAGGGAAGAAATGGGAAAAGACAGAGAGCCTTTGGACTATGATGCCTTTCTTATCTCTGTGGAAGGAAAAAGGGAAGGAAGGAGGATGGATATAAGAATAATCTTGGACTGCAGCACAATTCAAATAAAGGTTTTGCCAGCCCAGTGGAAAGTCCTAAAGTTGAAGTTACATAGAGGAGGAGTCTCACATCTTGCCGGAATGGGACTACCTTGGTGCTTCTGGCATGCTCAGTCATTGGCTAGGGATAGCCCATGAGATGGCCTCAGTGTGAGGGTGGAGGATCCAGGGAGGGAGCAGTTTGGTCCACTAGCCAATGATGCTCTCTGCAGCAGATGATCCGAGCAGCATATTTTCATAGGGTTGAGAGTTTTAGGTACTTGGAGCTGACTACATTTTCCCATATGTTCCCATTTCAGGATTCAGGGTCTCACTTTTTCCAATGTTCTGTCTTCACATAAGTTATCCTACAAAGCTGTGAATTCAAATGATATCTTAACTCGGCAAACTAAACAGTCAATTATCTCTCTCTCTCCCAGTTCAACATGATATTTGACTTCAACATGAAACTCTCCCAGTTTCAAGACATGATATTTCTTTAGCAAATTCCAAAGAGCTTCTGATTTGGGGATTTGTTTTTGTTTTAAAATATGTCCACAAATTATTTGATACTTTTTTTTTTTTTTTTAAGATGGGGTTTCACCATGTTGGTCAGGCTGGTCTTGAACTCCCGAACTCAGGTGATCCGCCGACCTTGGCCTCCAAAGTGCTTGGATTACAGGTGTAAGCCACTATGCCCGGCCTTATTTGATACTCTTTCAAAATGTGGTGTCTAATTCCCCTTCACTTGAGTGTGGGCTGTAGTTAGTGACTTGCTTCTAATAAAGACAATGTGGGAAAGGCAATGCTGCGTGATTTCTGAGACCCAATCATATATTATTAGGTGAAATTGTGGCTTCCTCCTTGTTCTCACTTGGATCATCTGCTCTGGGAGTGTCTAGCTGCCATGTTGTGAGGATACTAAAGTTGTCTATGGAGAGGCTTACATAGCAAGGAAGAGGCTCACTGCTGGGCACAGTGGCTCACACCTGTAACCCCAGCATTTTGGGGGGCCAAGGTAGGTGGATGACAAGGTCAAGAGATTGACACCATCCTGGCCAACATGGTGAAACCCTGTCTCTACTAAAAATACAAAAATTAGCTGGGTGTGGTGGTGCACACCTGCAGTCCCAGCTATTCAGGAGGCTGAGGCAGGAGAATTACTTGAACCTGGGAGGCGGAGGTTGCAGTGAGCCGTGATCACGCCACTTCATTTCAGCCTGGTGACAGAACAAGACTCTGTCTCAGAAAAAAAAAAAAAAACCTTAGCCACATGGAATGTAGAAAAGGCATCTGATGAGCTGGGTGATCTAACAAAGGAGATTTTCATACAGAATGTTGAAGATAACTGCCTGGTTTCCATTTGCTGCTTACAGCACAAAGCAAGAAGAAATAGATAAGCTAAAGAAGGACAGTTTAATAAAGAGGAACTAGGATTGTATGATTTTGAAAATGTCTAGCCTCTTGAATGGCAGATAATGTTTAAATTAAGGAATGGTTTGGGGCAAAGATTAAATCCTGGACACTGCCAGGAAAACATGGTCTAAAGAAGAATCCGAGGCTGTAAGGATTTAATTGTTAAATCTTTTGTTAAGACCTCAGAAAGATCAAAGGCAGTGACTCAGCATGCTATTCAACTAGACAAAGGCTCCCTAAAATTTGTTTAAGTGTGTTACAGTTTCTCTTGATCAAACAAATAAAGCTTCTAAGAAGCTGAAGATGTTCTTCAGCAGAAGCCCATAGTGGAGAAGGGCTTATCTTGAATTGATTTGTAGATTTGGCTTTTGAAAATGATGTGAACCCAATAAGATTCACAGGAAACCTGTAAAATTTTTCAAAGAATTGAATTAGCATAGAAACTACCAGCTTGGATTAAAAAGGACAAGACAGTATAAAATGAAAAGAGGTCTCTGGATCTCCATAGTTCTACTGGCAGAAAGCAGGCTGAGAGAACTCGGCTACACATATGTGTTTCCATTATAGAACGGATGACTCAGACGACAGAACCAAGAATGCAGAAACAAAGGCCATGGAGAAGAATTCCCAGTTGAACAAAGTTCTAATTGAGGAACTTCTGTAATTTCCTTGGCTGGTTTTCAGAATTGCTGTGGAGCAGTGACTCCTGTATGCATCTATTTTCTCCTATTTTTGGAACAGGATTGCAGATAGTGATTATAATGTGTGTTTTCTACCATTATATGTTGGGTGGTGTTATGGGGGGGTGGGAGGGATGGGAAGATACCTTTCTGTCTTCAGATTGAAAGGAAATGTGTTAGAATAATTGTACTTAGGAAGTACATCTAAGCAGTCTCATCTGTACATGGGCCTGATTTATAGTCTAACATTGTGGATTCCAAGCTGGTGCTGTAAAGGGGTTATAGGAGGATTTTTGTAAAGGTGGAGCTGTGGTAGCAAGTATATTTTGCATATGAAAAGAATGTAAATAATTTGTGGCTAGAGGACAGATTGTGTCTTAAAATATGTTCACAAATTCTGTGATACTCTTTCCTTCAAAAGGTGAAGCTTAATTCTGCTTTTCTTAAGTGTGGGCTGTACTTAGTGGCTTGTTTCTAATAAACAGAATGTGACAGAAGTAGCAATGCGTGATTCCAAAACTAGACCCTAAGAGGCATTGTGTTCCCACTTTGTTTTCCCTGGGATCACATGCTGTGGTACAGATTTTCTTAGCCCAGGAAAATATTGACTTTTTGGATAGGATTATTCTTATTATTCTTTGTTGTAAGGGGCTGTTCTGTGCTTTCTAGAACATTTCTTATCATCTGTGGCCTCTACTCACCCAAAATTCCCAGGAGTTGAATTGCTATGTCAAAGGGTACATGTACATGCAGCTACATACATACATGCACTTACATAGTTATTTATTCTGTCTTTTAAGGTTTTGGAGATAGAGTACTAAATTGCCTCCAAAAAGGTTGAATTTTTTTCCCTATTCAAATATCTTTATATTTGAATTTCTTTTTATCATTGGTGAACATTTTTTAAAATGAACATTTAAAAATGACTTTGGTCTATAGCATTTCTTTGTGACTTAGTCCAATTTTCTCCTGGGGCACGAGCAATGGTGTGCTCACAGGACCTGCTTTCTGTGTGGGCAGAACAGTCACTATTACACATTCCGGTGTGAAGAGGTTGGGAAGCCTTGCTTTCACCATTACCCTCCAAGGTAGGTTTGCAGGGATGAAATTCTTCCATTAGAAATGCATTATTTACCCACTTTTTAATGGGATTATTAGTTCTTTTGCTGTTGAGTTGAGTTCCTTGTATATTTTGGATATTAGTCCTTTGTTGGATGAGTAGTTTGCAAATATGTAATGAAATCTTAGTTGGCCATAGAAAAGAATGAAATCCTGTCATTTGTAGCAGCATAGATGAAACTGGAAGACATTATTAAGTGAAATCAGCCAAGCACAGAGACAAATAGTGCATGTTCTCACTCATATTTGGGAGCTAAAAATGTTGACCTCGTGGAGGTGGAGAGCAAAACGATAGTTATTAGAGGCAGGGAAGGGTAGGTAGGGGGTGGGAGAGAAATAAAGAGAGGTTGGTTGGTTAAGAAATACAGTTAGATAGGAGGAATTAATTATAATGTTTGACATCAGCGTAACAAAGTATTATATATTTCAAAATACCTAGAAGAGAGGACTTGAAATGTTCCTAATATGTAGAATGATGGATACTCTAAATATCCTGACTTGATCGTTACACATTCTATGCATGTAACAAATACCACACGCACCCCACAAAGATGTACAAATATGACATATCAATAAAAATACATTCTTAGCTGGGAATGGTGGCTCATGCCTATAATCCCATCACTTTGGGAGGCTGATCAGGAGATCAAGACCATGCTGGCTAACACGGTGAAACCCCGTCTCTACTAAAAATACAAAAAATTAGCCGGGCTGGTGGCATGCATCTGTAGTCCCAGCTCAGGAGACTGAGGCAGGAGAATTGCTTGAACCCAGGAGGCAGAGGTTGCAGTGAGCTGAGATTGTGCCTCTGCACTCCAGTCTGGGCAATAGAGCAAGACTCTGTCTCAGAAAAAATATGCATTCTTTTAGTTTGTCCTCCCTCTAGACTAATTTTAAGTATCAAACAAGTTCACTGGGCTACATGTTGAGGAGTGGGATTGCACAGCGACCGGGTACATGCATACTTAGCTTCACAACATTCTTTTTTTTTTGAGACAGAGTCTTGCTCTGTCACCAAGCTGGAGTACAGTGGCATGATCTCGGCTTACTGCAACCTCCGCTTCCTGGGTTCAAGCAATTCTCCTGCCTCAGCCTCCCAATTGCTGGGACTACAGGCACGTGCCACCACCTCCAGCTAATTTTTGTATGTTTGGTAGAGATGGGGTTTCACCATGTTGGCCAGGATGGTCTCAATCTTTTGACCTCATGATCCGCCTGCCTTGGCCTCCCAAAATGCTGGGATTACAGGTGTGAGCCATTGAGCCTGGCCCACAGCATTCTTCCAGAGTGTTTGTACCTGTTGACTCTCCCAACAACAGCAGCGCACATCTTCTTTCTAATATTTGCCTCTCTGATGGATGTAAAATGGCATATCATTGTTTTAATTTGCATTTATCTGGTTATCAATGAGTTTAAACATTTTTGTGTCTAATCTTATTCAGCCAAAAATTGCTGTGCCTATTATGTTCCAGTCATTGTTCTGGGCTCTGAGGAAAGAGCATCCCTTGTCCATTTTTACACTGGATCTCGTATCTTTTATTTTGTCAATTTGTAAGAGTTCATTGTGGAGCTAGGTATTAATCTCTTGTCAGTTTTAGACAACACAAATATCTTCCCTCGGTTTGGCTCTATCTGGTAACTGTTTGTGGCATCCTTCATTGACCAGACAGCATTATTTTAATGAAGTCAAAAAAATGTTTGTGGTCGCCTATGTTTGGCAATGTCACATTGCCAGTTTCCTGAATTTTGTTCTATTCGTAGTTTTACCATTTCCATTTAGATCTTTATTTCATCTGGAGTCCATGATTTACGTGGTATAAAGTAGTAATCCAGCCTCACTCTTCTGTAGCTAGTGAGCGAGTTGTCTAACACGGATCACCCTTTTCTAAAGCTTTTATGACTTAGCGTGACCGATGTCAGCCTTGAGTCTATTCTGGAACTAAGATGAGTCAGAGGTTTGCAAACAGTTTCAGTTAGAAAATGTCTCTGTGAAACCTGAAACTGGGCAGCTCCAGTGTGACTGCTTTGCAGAGAGGTTGTACTTGCAGTTAATGTTTTGTGGCTCCCCAGGAGCCAGAGGTCTGACAGCAATGGACAGGTGCTGAGGGTGACAAGTGCATTCCCCTAATGGAGAGAGGGCTTGCAGAGAGTTATTACAGATCAAGAACAAGTCTGAAAGTCACTACAAACATTGAAACATTCCCATAAGGGTTCTCTAGTGTCATATATCCAAATTTGCACACTTACTTCTAAAATCTATGCTTTGAAATTAGAACATAGTTTAAGAATCATCAGACTTCAGTGTAGCTAGGGTTTCAGAGCCTGGGTCCTGGGGGTCAGAAAGCCATGTTCAAATCCCAGCTCGGTCACTCATTAACTGTGTGACCTTGGACAGATTACTTCCCTCCAAGCATTCCATTTTTAGGGATGAGATAATCTTTATAAAGCACTTAGCCAAGTGCTGGCATATTTTAGTTATTCAATAAACAAAAACAAGAAAAAGAAGGCCTATTAGAGGATAGACTTAACATTCCAGGGAATACAAAGATGACCAAACTGTGACCAGCAAGGGATTTATGATCTAAAGTGGGGACAAGACAAACCTCAAAAATACTGATACCATAAGAGAAAACTTGATGTGATCGAAAGGGGCCCATTAGGAATAACAGATCCCAAGAGTTCTAGGCTCTCTGCGCCATCAACTAAAGGACAAAGAGCAAATCTCTTTCTTATTATACCCCATCGTGGAGAGGCAACTGGACTCCAGCGGGGAAGCTCTCCTGCTGGCCAGGTCTTCTTCCAGGGGTCATTGTCTACTTCCTCTGCTTTCCTTAAAACTCCAGCGGATTTCCTTTCTCCCACTCAGCTGATAACCTCACTCCCTACTTCCTTTGTACAGAATGTCTCTTATTTTCATTCTTTTCTTTTTTCATGTTCTTCTCCTCTCTTTGCTTCATCCAAGGCCAATTCTTCCACTGGTATTCCTGACCCATCTCCTTCCTGTGCCTTATGAAAGTCCCATGAAAAAATATTTCCTCTGCTTCTCATGTGTTTAAGCTCAGTCTCCACTGGCTCTTTCCTCCTTCCAGCTGTACTCAGGTTTCTCTTGGTTTACATGAACTACCCTAAGTTCTGGTCTATTCGATTTTTGTTGTTGTTGTTGTTTGTTTGTTTTTGTAGGCGGGGTGTGGGTGGTGATCTCCCACTGTAGCCCAGGTTGGTCTTGAACTCCTGGCCTCAAGAGATCCTTCCACCTCAGCCTCCCAAAGCACTGGGTATCCTGTTCTATTCTTAAGCAACCCTTCAGTTTTGCTCTAACATTTTGGCTCCACATTTCTCGAGAGAGAGAGAACTCAATGCTGAAAGACTTCTCAGGCTTTCACAACATTTATACCTTAGCATTCTGAAACCCAACTCCCACCTTCACAAACACTCCAGAGCTACTGATGACTTCTTATGTGCCAGATGCAACCATTGTCCCTTCAGCTCTCATCCACTTAAGTTCCGCTAAGCAATGCCTTCATTCCCCCTCCCTGCCACCTTCTTTTTTTTTTTCAAGATGGAGTTTTGCTCTTGTTGCCCAGGCTGGAGAGCAGGGCATGCTCTTGGCTCACTACAACCTTCGCTTACCAGGTTCAAGCGATTCTCCTGCCTCAGCCTCCCGAGTAGCTGGGATTACAGGCATGCATCACCATGCCTGGCTAATTTTGTATTTTTAGTAGAGACGGGGTTTTGCCATGTTGGACAGGCTGGTTTCGAACTCTTGACCTCAAGTGATCCACCCTCCTTGGCCTCCCAAAGTGCTGGGATTACAGGCGTGAGCTACCACGCCCAGCCCCCGCCACCTTCTTGAACTGCTTTCCTTATCTGATTTTGGTTCTCCCTCTTCTCTGGCTCTACCTTCCCAGTCTTTAGTCTGTCTGACTTTGCAAACAGAGTTGCTTTTTATTATTTTGTCCTCATCTGTCTAAGCCAGGATTGAGCAATCTTTTCTTGCATAAGTTTAAAGGAGATATATGTATATATATATTTATATATATATTAAAAGATATATATATATATACATATATCTCCTTTAATATATATACATATATAATATATATACATATATATCTCCTTTAATATATATATACATATATAATAAATATATATATACACATATATACATATAAACATACATAAAAATATATTTGAACTCCTGACCTCAATGTAAATATATACATACACATTTAATTGCCACATCTCTATGCAGAATATATAATAATATATAAATATATACATATATGTATATATATTTATATGTACATTATACATATATAAATGTTTTTGTATATATATTAAAGGATATATATGTATATATTAAAGGATATGTGTATATATATTATATGTATTATAATATATATTAAACTTTAAAAATCCATCTGTATCTATTCATACTTATTAAATAGAATAGTATCAATTAGAAAATAGGTTCTACATTACGGCCCATAAAATATTATCTCAAGATAGAATTGCAAAGTAGGTAGTAACATGGAGGCAACTTCCCAATCTTTCTTCTTGCAATTGTGCCAAGGGCTCATCCATCCTTCATTTCTCTTTATAACATTAATCTTTACCATGGATTTAATTGCCACATCTCTATGTAGAATTTCCAATATCTCTGCCTTGATCCTCTTCTTAAACTAAAGAAATCCAGTTCCAGCTTCCTGCTCATGCCTGCAATTCAACACATCCTGGCAGAACTCGTCGCCTCCCTCTTTTGCCCCACAAATGTGCTTTTGCCTTTTTTCTTCCCTGACAACGCTGTGTTCCCAGGCACTCACAGCTTTCCATATGGAGGCAAACATGGCTATTTTGCAGTTGTATGGTGATAAGCATGGGTGTCATCAGTTCGGCAAGAATTTTTTAGAATATGTGGCTATGAACCTTTAATATAAACATATGAGTGTGATTGGAATTTTGTTGTTTTTTTTAAAAAAGCAGCAACACAGAAATCAATGAGCCAACAATTAAGTTTGGAAAAGCCAAAAGGAAGGCCAAATAATGTTCTTTAAAAATGTTGCAGTAGCTTCTTGAGATTCCCAAAGGAAAAAGGAAATAAAAAATAAAAATGTTGCATGATCAATATGATATAATGTAAAAATAATCCTGATGGGTTGGGAAAATAATTTTTGGTATTATTTTAAATAAATGAATAGACATTTCTGACAACAATAAATAAATATTAAGAGCTTTTTGGTGTTGTAAGTGAATAGTGGGGCTCACATCTAAAGGATTTTACAGATTCTCTGGGATTATATCCCTTAGACAGGGGTCCCCAAACTACTCAGAGGCCTGTTAGGAACCAGGCTGCACAGCAGGAGGTGAGTGGTGGGCAAGTGAGCATCATACGGCCTGAGCTCCACCTCCAATCAGATCAGCAGCGGCACTCGATTCTCATAGGAGCACAAACCCTATGTGAACTGCATATCTGAGGGATCTTTTATTTCATTTTATTTATTTTTTATTTTTTTTGAGATGGAGTCTCTCTCTGTCACCAGGCTGAAGTGCAGTGGCACGACCTTGGCTCACTGCAACTTCCTCCTCCTGGGTTCAGGTATTCTCCTGCCTCAACCTCCTGAGCTGGGACTACAGGCTCCACCAGCTAATTTTTTGTATTTTTAGTAGAGACGGGGTTTCACTGTGTTAGCCAGGATGGTCTCTATCTCCTGACCTCGTGATCTGCCTGTCTCAGCCTCCCAAAGTGTTGGAATTACAGGTGTGAGCCACCATGCCCGGCCGGGGTCTTTTACTTTTATCATATTTTTGGAGATGGTCTCCATCTGTCACCCAGGCTGGAGTGCAGTAGCACGATAATGGCTCACTGCAGCCTCCATCTCCCAGGCTTAAGTGATTCTCAGCCTCCTGAGTAGCTGGGACTACAGGTGCAACTGCCACGTCCAGCTAATTTTTGTGTTTTTCCGTAGAGACAGGGTTTTGCTTGCTGTCCAGGCTGGAGGAATCTTATTTTATACAGTGACATTCATTCTCTTAAAAATATAGCTTTATGGTTACTTTTTACTATACATAAAATGAATTTCAAGGAAAGCCCATATCCACATGGGCTAAAAATGCATTTGGAATCTATGTAAGGAAAATGCCATTAATGCTCTAGAGGGAGATTACATGTGGCTTCATTCATTCATTCAACCTGTACTTTTCATCACTCTCTCTGGAAAGGTTACAGGCACTGGGAAGTCAGCGGAGAACAAAGGACAGTAATCCCTGCTGTCATTTACACTCTGAAGAGAGGAAAGAGAAATTAAACCACAGATACACGGATTATAGAGTGTATTAGAAACAATGTCCTAAGTGCTAATGAGAACACTGGAGCAGGGGAAGGATATAGGGAGTAGGATTATAATGAACACTGGGATTGTCAAGGAAGGTCTAGGGGGCGGTGCAGATGACACTGGTACCAAGACCTGAAGGGGATGAGAGAGAGAGGTCTGTAGGAAGGATGACTCCAGGCAAGGAAGCCAGTGTGGCTGGATGTGACAAGATGGAGGTGAGCACACAGTGGTCATGGGGAACAGACCCTGTAGGGTTTTTCCTTGTGATGGAGCAACTGGAGGGTGTTGAGCAGAGACCTGGGGTGTTTTAACAGGCTCAGGCTGACCGCTGGTTTGAAAGCAGTGGGTAGTAGTAGCTGGCTGTGTTTTGCTTTGCAGCAATGGGAAGGATGTGGTCACCACTTCTTGAGATGGGGAAGGTAGGGAGAGGAATAAGTTTAGGGAGGAAGGTGGGGAGTCCAGGTCTGTATAAGTCGGGTTTGAGATGTCTATTAGACACCCACAAGGCGATGCCTAGTTGGCAGTCTTTGCCCTCACTTCTCCTCTACCCCCTCCCTTATGATTGCCAAAGTTGTAGTTGTGACCTTCATCAAGGCAGCTTTGGCCCTCCAGTAACCTCACTGGCACAGCATTGCACCGGGTTAAGGGCTACTGTCCTTTCGGAGCAAGGGGCACATTTGATAATTTGTCCTATCAGAGACAGCAATCTAATAATTATTCCAAGGCGGGCTGGCTGTTGAATGTCGGAGTCCAAGAAAAGAGGTGTGAGCTGCAGACATAGACGTGGGGATCATCAGCTTGAAGCTGTTGTGCAAAGTCATCAGATCCGCAGAGGAACGGATTTACAAAGAAATGTATATAACAGCGCACGGGGTTGTTGTCTTGTGAGGATTAAATACATACATAAAACATATGGAATACAGACAGTGCTTAATAAAGAGCTGCTGTTTTTATTAACAAACTTATCTGTAGGCACTCGTCCATGGACAACATCCAGGTCAGACAGTCGGGCGCGCATTTCGCACCATCCATACACGCCCAAGGAGGATGAGACTGGATGTGGTTGGGCTGACTGGCATCTTTAGATAGACGGTCCTCTGTCCAGTCCTTTCATTTTGCAGGCGGGAAGGCAGAGGCTTGGGGAGGCTAAGCGCGGCGAGCTGGTGGCGGAGTGGAGCTTCCACTAGGGCTCCCAGTTTCCCCTCACCTTGCCCCGGTCCTCCCGGCCACCCACCCCATCCGAACGCGCCACCTCTTCAGCCCGCGCCCAGGCCCGCGCGTCACCGACGTCCGCGGCCTCTCCCACCTCTAAGTTCCAGGAAGCTCTCGGCCTTTAGCTGGCCGCGCTGCTGCTAAGCTTTCCTGGGGTGGAGGCGCCGAGGTGCCCGGCCCGGGGCGAGGCCTTGAGGGCAGCGGGCGGGAGAAGGAAGTGCGGTGGGGCAGGTCTTGGCTGCGCGCAGTGCGCACTTGGGTTCTTCACGCGGGACACACGTGGAACGCCGCCCCCTGCGACCCCGGCCGCTAGCAACTGGCAGGGCCGAGAACAGAAGATGGAAGAGCGTTCCAGTCTCCGCCCGGAGGGAGCCCGGGTCTGCAGCCTGGGGGCGGGGAGCGGGGCGGGGCCGGGAAAGTTGAGTACCGGTCGCGCTGGGCCGGGCTCCGCCGGAGCGCCCGCCGCAGGAACCGTAAAAGGCTGGAGCGGGCGGGGTAGGTGTGGCTCTGCTTGCGTGACCTGAGCCCCAGCCCCAGTCCTCGTCGTCTCCCGCGGCCGCGGCCTCTCAGCCATGGGCGCCGTCTGGTCCGCTCTGCTGGTCGGAGGGGGTCTGGCCGGAGCGCTTTTCGTTTGGCTGCTGCGGGGCGGCTCTGGGGACACTGGGAAGGACGGGGACGCTGAGCAGGAGAAGGACGCCCCTCTTGGGGGAGCTGCGGCTCCGGGAGGTGATCAGAGTGGCAGCAGCGGACTGAGCCCTGGACCTTCCAGGCAGGAGCTGGTCACCAAATCAGGTATTCTTCACTCCTGTGACTCCAGGGCACATCTGCCATAGCTTTGAGGTTCATCGAGGAAGGAAGGAAAGAGGCAAATCTACCTAGAGCTTTCCTAGGGGCCCATTCCTGCGGAGGGCTCCCCTAAGGGGTCTGGGCCATCCCCACGCCCCTCGGTTTCCCAGGCTAGTTGGTAGCGCAGGCAGGTTTTTTGGTTGGTCCTCCAAGGGCCGCGCCCTGCCGAGTCTCTCAGCGCCCGCGCCTGCGGACTTGGTTCTGCCCCTCCGGCGGGGATAAGCTCCGCCACTTGGCGGCGCTTGGTGCAGTGCGGGCGGCTGCCGTGGCGGCGCCCCTTCCCGGCCTTTGGAAAAGAGGGCTTAGATTTGGGGGGGATCCTACAAGCCTCTTCAAACTCTGCCCAAGCCGGGACATTTTCTCAGTCCTGATCCGGGTAGTCTCACATCCTCCCATCGCACAACCCATGGAAGAGCTGGATTTGGGAACACCCGAGCTGCGGGCGCCTCGTGCTGTCTGGACGCTTCTTCAGGAAGGCAAAGTTCAGGTTGGACTCTGGCCATGAAGGCCATGGCTGAGGCCCTGGGGCTGTGCTTGGTGACCGGTTTCAGCACTGTCGGCAGTTCCCCCCACCCCCCTCCCACTGCCCCAGAACAGGGCCAGGTGGCCATCCCTGGGAAGGGACTACTTAAATAGGAGTCCCAGCTCTGATGAGTAGAACCGGTATCTAGGTTTAAATTTCTGTATTTTAGGGACCGTTTGCTAAGCAGAGAGCGAACACTGGCAGAAAAACCTTACCTTCCAGTGCCCTCCCGTGGCAAGCGGCCCTTGCCTGGACAGAAGCTTAATGGTGAAAATGACATCTGTGAACTTTATTTTTAGCCCAGTGGTGTTCATGTGCAGCTATATGAAAATCTGCCCGTGTGCCCTTAGTATGATTGGTCGGGGATGCCTAGACAGTTCACTTATCTTTTTGTTTTTCCTGAAGGCCAATCTCATGCTTTAGGTTGAAAAGTTGGGAATCCATAGTAATATTTGTTCACTCTCACTTCCAACTCCACCATTAAAACGAGATAAACAAGACTATTGTCCCCATGCCCTCCCCCCCGCCCCACCCCATAAAACCACAGCTGTGCTAATTGTATGTACGATTTGGAGATTTCAGTCTTGTTTGGACTACCAATGGGGTGGTCAAGAAGGAAACCACATTTTTAGAGGACTTGGATTTTGTATTTTTAAGAACATTTTTTTAAAAAGTGCTTACAGTGGGAGGGGGTACAAAACACTGTTTTGCTGAGGAGGTTCCGAATGAATATGGGATTGGCAAGGAGAAACCAGCCCCTTCCCCCACTCCACTCCTGCATCCCAGGCATGCACTACTGTCCTTCGTATCTCCCCACAGTGACAGCTCCTGCTGATCTGCCCACAGATCTGTGAGAGCCAATCCCTGCCCTGCACGCCTCCCCTGAGAGTATAAGTGTACTCTTCCGGTTTGTAAGGTGGCCACGCAGCCTTTTGCCCCACAGCCTGGACATTCTTTGATGATAGGAGCCAAGCAACTTAACTTGGCTGCATGCCAGTATGGCCTGGACTGTGGACACCAGGGGCCATGACAGGGTTACACGTCTGCCTCTAGAGCTTACCATTTCATTTACACTTGTGCTGGCACACTGATTCTCCTGGATGTGCCTTTTATTGTCAGATATACATGTGTATTCTTAGAGCACAGTGTTGGTTAATGAAGCTGTACTTGATTTTAATAGAGGAGGACTTTGTGAATTGCAGATTGACTAGTAGTGAACCTTTCAGTAACCAAATTATTTTCTCAACCTAACTTTTTTCTTACACGAACTACCTGACTCTATTACATTTTTCCTTTTATTTCTTAGAGCATCTTCAAGAAAGCAATGGACATTTGATTTCTAAGACCAAAGACCTTGGTAGCTTGCAGGCAGCAGCATGCAGATTGCAGAATCCTTCCAGGGAAGTCTGTGACAATTCAAGAGAACATGTTCCTTCTGGACAGTTTCCAGACACAGATGCTCCAGCTACTTCTGAGACTGGTAACTCTAGGAGTCACTCTGAAGTTTCAAGAAATGAAAGCCTTGAATCTCCTATGAGAGAATGGGGATTCCAAAAAGGACGAGAGACATCTGCTAAAGCAGCTACTTGTTTTGCAGAGAAGTTGCCTTCTAGCAACCTGCTCACGAACAGAGCTAAAGAAGAAATGAGCCTCTCTCATTTGAACAGTCAGGACCGGGTTGACCACGAGGAGTGGGAAATGGTGTCTAGGCACTCGTCTTGGGGGGATGTTGGCAGTCTTGAGGCTCCAGTGTTAAGCCCAAAACAGGGAATGGACAATGGAAGAAGCACTCTGGTGGAAGCAAGAGGTTGGCAATTGCATGGGAAAACAGAAAAGGTAGCAGTGATGCCTGCGGGGTCTCAGCAAGTTAGTGTCAGGTTCCAGGTCCATTATATCACAAGCACTGATGTGCAATTCATTGCAATAACTGGAGACCATGAGTGTCTTGGGAGATGGAACACATACATCCCACTCTCCTATAGCAAGGATGGGTTCTGGTCTCATTCCATTTTCCTGCCTGCAGATACAGTGGTGGAATGGAAGTTTGTGTTGGTAGAGAATGGGGGAGTTACTCGCTGGGAAGAATGCAGCAATAGATTCCTAGAGACTGGCCATGAGGATAAGGTGGTTCACGCATGGTGGGGGATTCACTGATTCAGTTTGCAAACTATTGGAGAAGCTGTAGAAGAATGTGGAAGAGGCTGAGGTTGCGGAGCACACTGAATAAAATGAAGACAGTGTGACTCCAAATTCAACTTGTTTCAAATTTGCTAGTGGCTTTTGTCTAATGTGCAGAAATATATGTGTGTATATATACATATATATACACAGAAAATGCTTCCAGTGGATGTGGACTTTTTTCCCCTGTGGCACTGATTGAGGACTTGTGCTGATCCATTATTACTTTAGGGTGTGAACCTCTTGGGGAGTGACTTGGCTAAGCTTCAGGTGTGAACTGTGATCATGGAGCAAAGAAATTAACCAGCTGCCCAGGGTTCAAGCTTGAGCCTTCAGGTGATCCTTAGAATATGGTAGCAAAATAAGCCTCACTTAAACATAGCTGATTTCCTATTGGTACAGCTTGAGAAACACTTTTTACTACATACAAATTTTATGCTTAAAAATAGTTAACGATACAAAACTGTGATTAGAAAATATCTGGTCTGGATGTCATTAGTAAAGATCCAAGATAATGCTCTAAAACTATCCAATGTTTTGTTTGATTTTCATCTGCCAGGTGTGGTTATGTGCTCTGAGGATAGCAAGTAAGTCTTTGTCTTAATGATCTAAGGCTGATATAGAAACAAGGGGCCTAATGAGAACCAGTCATCATGGAAGTCAGTTGCAGGAGCAGCCCATAAGGAAAGGGAACATGAGTGGGGTTGGGGGTACTGAGTGAGGTGGCTTCAATGACACCTCTTAGAGGACTGTGAGGTACAGGCACAGCCCAACTGTAGGGAGGGATGCACCCATCATTTACCCATGGGAGGACCATGTCTCTCCCACTGCTCTCCCCCTCCCCCACTGCATCTGGACAGATCTGTCCTATAGCAGTCATTTCCATCACCCTCTTCCCTCTCCTTTCATACCAGTCACTATCTTGGGTAGCAAATTTATACACAACAGTGGTACAGAAGTACATCTTTGCTCAGAGAATACAGCAAATATTTAAACTTTAAGTTATTATAACTGAACAAATAATAAAACCTGAATTTTAATATCATTCAATGTCTGATATATTTGTGTAAAGTTTAGTGTCATAATAGCATAGATGTAAAATAAAATGCAAATATTTTCCTCCACTAATAACAGACACACATACAGAAAAGCAAACATTACAATATTTATTTTAAAAGTTCCCCTTTGACTGGAGGGAAATTCAGCATGCCTGTCCTTGAAAATAAATTTTTACATGTTAGCTCTTAATAAGTATAACATCTATTGGCAAAATAATGTTTAGTCCTGTTAATCAGATGGTCTTTGTGGAAAATAATGAACCCAACCAAAAATAGCATTAGAAAATGCTTAAAAGAACTATGTGGCAGTTTTTGGCTCACAGCACTTTTATGTTAAATCCATATGTACTGGTTATAGACTTCATAATGAATTTTTTTTTTTTTTTTTTTTTTTGAGACAGAGTTTAGCTCTTGTTTCCCAGGTTGGAGTGCAATGGCGCGATCTCGGCTCACCACAACCTCCACCTCCTGGGCTCAGGCAATTCTCCTGCCTCAGCCTCCTGAGTAGCTGGGATTACAGGCACGCGCCACTGTGCACAGCTAATTTTTTGTATTTTTAGTAGATTTGGGGTTTCACCATGTTGACCAGGATGGTCTGATCTCTTGACCTCGTGATCCACCCGCTTGGGCCTCCCAAAGTGCTGGGATTACAGGCGTGAGCCACCGTGCCAGGCCTGAATTTTATATTATACTAATAAGCTCTGCAGAAGGCATTCACCATTACTGCACAGAATGCCCAAACATTACCATGAAAAAAAATCAAAGGTAAAACAATTGAAGCAAAAGTCTCTCTAGGGTTCTACTACTGGCGATTTTATCATTATCTGGTAAAATTAAAATTAATCTTTCAGTAAAGCCAACTGATTTAAGAGATAAATATTACACTTTATATTTTAAAAATTTACTTAAAATTGCACATGCTTACAGTGTTAACACTGTCCTTGAGAGCAGAAACGTGACGATCTTCTGGTGAGAGGATGTATGCCCTACTCCATTTATTGTCTGCATAGGTCAGGGCTTCTGCTAGCTGCTGTAACAGAGACCATCCATTTAAGAAGGCTGAAGCACCAGAGGCCAACTTCTTCCTCGTGTAACTGTGAGCAGTGAGTCTTCCTGGCAGGAAGGAGGGCAGCTCCCCTCCTTGCAGAGATTCAGTTACACAGACTCCCTTCTGCCCTGTGGCTCTATCCTTGCAGAGATTCAGTTACCCAGACTCCCTTCTGCCCTGTGGTTCTATCCTTGCAGAGATTCAGTTACCCAGACTCCCTTCTGCCCTGTGGCTCTACCATCCCCTACAACCCTGATGTCCTCTGCATCCAGCCCTGGTGGGGAAAATAAAGGAAGAACACCAATGCATGTTAAAACTTTAGCCTGAAAATGCCACATATTGCTCTGTCCATATTCTGTTAGTGAGAACCCTCAGGCCACACCCAGATACACGGGGAGGCAGGATTGGGAAACAGAGACTCTCGCTGGGCATCTGTTTCTCAGAGACAATTCCAGATTATAGAACAGGAACACAAATTTGTTTTGGACAGCTAGCTACCTGCCACATTGTCCCTGATGTTTTGACACTACTGAAACGTTTTTGTATCTGTTCTTGTCTCACTTTATTTGGTTCACATATAAAACCCCCTAATTTATTAAAATTTAACTAAAACAGACTGAATAGATGTAATCTTGAACTTGCAAAAGAATAACATCATTTTTTTTCTTTCTTTACTATTATTAATATGCAAAAAAGAGAAACTTTTTTCTAAAAGTTTTGACTGGGGGCCCTGATGTTTGGTTATCTGATTACCCAAACTGATATTGACAGAACAGTGAGTTCATAGTCACAAAATGAGTCCCTGTTAGTATGTTGAAGTTTGTCCTTCTGTCCTTGGTATTACACCACATCTTTCACTTTCATGTGAAAGTAGTTTTTCCCCTATAATTTTTTTGAAGCTAAAATTGATTGAATAAAGTATGTAAATTTAATTAAGATTTAATTAAAATTTAATTTAAGTAAAATAAAATAGATTCTATTGTCTTGGGACCAGTAACAATTAAAAACCCATAATTATTCCAATATATTAGAATAAACACAAATTATATCTTACAATTAATTACCTTATGAGGTAATTATAATACCTTATCATGTATGAATACTTTACAGGTATTAATTGTTATAACGTATGAATACTAGCTAGTAGATGTTTGAAGTTTTACTGTGAGGAATTCAAGAACAGTTTATTTCAAAATAGAGTTTACAAGACAGGGCATCTTTTATTAAATTTTCACATAAAAAGAAAAAGTACACAAAGCACTAATTACAAGTGACACCACAATTAATTGGGCCTCATTCCTCTGTAATGAACAGGCAAGCAACGAGTCATTTTAGTAACATTTTTTCCTGGTCTTTTACTTTCTGTATCCTCTTTTCTTGATTTCTGATCATTGAAGACATTGCTGAAAATGTTGATAAAACATAGTTAGACTAACAAAATCTACTCAGGCTTTAATTCTACTGTGTGCTACCTCAAAGATTAGCTTGTTAGTATAGAATAGATATGTTCTGAGCTCACGACATTCTTAAAAATTGTGATGTAGCATATTTTTGGAAAGGCTGGTGTTATGGAGGAGAGCTAAGGGTAAATCTTTAGTGCTTCAGGTGTTTTATTTTATTTACTTATTTATGTTGTAGACACAGGGTATCTCTCTATGTTGCCCAGAGTGGTCTCAGACTCTTGGTCTCAAGCAATCCTCCTGTCTCAGTTTCCCAAAGTATCAGGATTACAGGTATAAGCCACTGTGCCCAGCATCAGTTCTTTTAAATGAACATGATAATTGTAAAAGTAATACTAATTGTAAATAATTCAAACACCTCATAAGGACACAAAAAAAGATGAAGGTCAGTCTTTGTCTCTGCGCTCTCAATCTGCTGGAATCTACCTCTGCCTAAGAGGGCATTACCATAAGCAATTCGGTGAATATCTGCACATATACATGCATGTGCACATGTTTTATTCTTTACACAAATGAAAATATATGGTATAGATTGTTCTGTAGCTTCCTTTATTCATATAACAAAATGTCAATAATTTCTCAGTTCAGCTTATGTTTTAACTGCACAGTATTTACTATTTCATTACACAAACTGACTTACTAAACTGACTTACTAAACTGACTAAAAAAGGTTACATATTTTTCTTTCTAAACAATGCTATAATAAATACTTTTGTATATATACTTCTGTGCATTTATACAATCATTTCTTATAGAATAAATTGCTAGAAGTGGAATTTCTGGGTCAAAGGGTAAACGCACTTCAAGTTTTGACAATCCTCCCAAAACTCCCCCTAAAAATATTTGTTTTAGAATTTTCAAGAGGTTTCCCATCCAGACACTGCATCCAGCAAAAAGGTCTTTTTATTTTGTAAACAAATATATGTCTTCCATGTAGATTATTATTTGGTCCCATACATTAGATAAACTCAGAAATGTATGTCATGGTGAGAATAAAAATAGGATCAATAAGAATGCATCTTCCTTCAAAAAACTCACAATAGATATGGAGAGGAAGATGGCAGATAAGAAACAGGGCTAATGTGCAGCTCCAAGCTCCGACTTGGACGGACAGAGACTTACACTGTTGTGGAGACTTACACTGTTGACTGTGCTCCAAGAGCCACTGCAAGAACATACCAGAAAAACCAAAAGAATTCAGAGGTCCTTTGAAAGAAACAGCATGCCGCTGCAAATTCCACTAGATAGGTGAAAAACTGTGAGTTCCCAAAGTGTGAGAGGCGTAAATCCTGCCTCCCAACATACATCCCACTGGGGAACCTGAAAATCCAGATTATAGGAGAAGGATTTAACTTTACCTAGAGCTAAAACGAATGTAGTGTAAAACATAAAAGTAGAAGTAGCAGTGGGAACAGCCTTGGAGGCACTCCCATTCTCTAGCTCTAGCCCAGGGAAGCCATTCCTGACTATATCTCACAGGGGCCCTTGGGGAAGGCAGCTGACAGAATTTGGGAGTGGTCACAGGGTGAAAGAAGCTTCCAAGTGAACTCTGTAATAATTTCAACTGTAAACAAATTCTTTTGCGCAGAATATGGGTAGTGAATGTGAACTGCTATGGAAAGCAGCACAGAAGCCACTGCTGACACTGTGGGCAGGCAGGAAGGAGCAGGCAAGACCTGAAAGCCATACTTGCTCCCTCAGTGAGGAAGATTATAGACTGGGGCAAGGTCTGATCTGCCCCCCATACCCCAATCACTACCCCGCACTGGCTGCCTGGAGATACTGGCACTGTTAGTGGGGCATGGTGGGAGGAAGACTAGCCTTGCCAACTGTGTGGGAGCTAGATGAGGCCTATTGCTACAGGCTTTTCCCCGCTTCCCTGGCAACAGAGGCAGCCATCATCACCTCTGGAACATAACCCCACTGGCCCAAGAACCACCCCGCATCCCCCACAGTGGCCATGGCAAGCCCCATCCAAGGAGAGTCTGAGCTCAGATGCACCTAACTCTGCCCCAACCTAATGGTATTTTTTTTACCTGCCCTGGTAGCCGATCACAAAACACACAAACTTTTGAGAGCTTGATGGCCGTACAAATCACCTGAGAAACCCAAATACTTATCCTGGCCAACTTAGGGCAAGCTTATATTCCCTTGTCTTCTATCACAGCTGGTGCTCTCTTGAAAGCACCACCTCCTGACTGGAGGCCGACCACCTCAGGACATTACAGTAACTCATAACAGAATAACCCTATACCAAGGAAGGAGAAAACAGCTAATTCCATTACCTGTAACATTCTGGCTAGCCAGAGGTCCTACGTCTGTCCATGTGAAAATGTCACTGCTAGCATAACCAGTATTTGATAAAGCTAGGACACTAAACCTATTTATAACCGAGGACTCTCACAGAGTGTACTTCACTCCCCTACCTCCTCTACCAGAGGAGGTGCTGGTATCCATGGCTGGGAGACCTGAAGATGAG